TCGTGAATATTTATAATATAGCCGCCAATTTTCTGAAAACCATAAATTACCATTTTTCCTGTTTTTTTAAAATTCGTGTAAAAGATGAAAAAACATTTTTTCAGAAAAGTTGTGGCAATATGTTATAGGAAATTTATTCCAGTTTTCGAAACTGACTTCAATTCTCTGTACGACCATCTATGGCCGAGATATCGCTGATTGAAGACAAAAGGATCTCTTTCCATTAAATTCCGATATTTCGATGAATAATGGTCGTATCGAAATTTTAAAAAAAGGAAATTAAAGCTGAATAAACAAGCTATCTGGTCCATGCAATGGCTTAGATAAAAAAAAATAAATCCAAGTCCGTGAATTCGGAAAAAAAAAAAATTTGCAAAATTTTTTTTTCGAGCTCCTAAAAATTTTCGACCGAAAGATCTAAAAACTAGAATCTTAGAGCTTCAAAATGCTTTTTTTTTTCATTGCTGATACGACCATCTTTTACCTAAATACAGTATGTCAAAAATCACGGAAAAATTTCGGAAATTCTTTTTACCCTTTTTTGGCTTGTAGATTGAATGAAAATACATATTTTCATTTTTTTTAAGAATTACTCCTTGAAGATGTACCTAAAGGTGTCAAAAAAATCAACATTGGCTTATGCATGGTGGATCTTCTTCACCATTGTATCTTAGGACGTTGTCATTTCCAATATTTATTACCATATTTTACGATCATAATCACTAAATCTTTTTCTCCTTTTTTTGAAGCGCAATAAATCTGCAGGGGAGAGGGATTTTTTGCCCCCCTTAACTTTTTAAAGATACCTAAATCACCTTAATTATTTCGCACTTATTTATTAACACGACGTATTTTTACGAAAAAAAAACTTTTCTCGTCGTGAAAAGATCACTCAGGCTCATTTAGAAACTTCCCATTCCCATTCTGATAAAAACCCCATCGGCAGCGCTTCCCTCGCCATATTTACCTTATTCAAAACCCTAAATAGATATAAACGACCAGCGTATTAAAGCCTTTATTTAAAAAAAGTGTAAACTCACCCCCGGAGGCGCAAAAATCGCCTACCACCGAATCATCACGATCATTTATTCATATTAGTCCCTTGCACTGTAAAAAGCTTTACAGGTTGGTGTAATAGATTTATGTCTCGTCACTGCCAATTAGTCCCATCGATTCATCCTGCGGTACAATTTCTGGGTCCCCGACAAACCCGGATTACGATGGAAGGGAAAGGGAATTAATCATAATTTTGCTCAAAGTGAATAATTTGCCCGTGACAGGTGAAAAAAAACACGTGGTTGGCTTTTTAAGGCTTCGCGAACACATTGTGTGGGTGGCTCGGGGTTTGCTGCATTAAATATTTCAAGTTACAAAGTCGTGTATTAGCTATTCGTTAATCTAAGCTAAATCCCATGCCAGCGCCATATTTTTCAAATACGTATTATACAGGGTGTCCCATCAATATTACGAAAAAAATCAGGGGGAGTTTCCTTGACCAAAAATAAGAAAGAAAGTTCCTATAAACCTACGTCCGAAAATGCTTCATTTCGGAGAAACAGGGTGTTGAAATTTAGAGAAAATACAAAATTTCAACACGCTGTATCTCCGAAACGAAGCATTTTCGGACAAAGGTTTATGGGAACTTTCTTTCTTATTTTTGGTCAAGGAAACTCCCCCTGAATTATTTCGCAACATTAATGGGACACCCTGTACATGTGTAGTTCTTCAAAATTTCCCATTAAGCATCATTAACTTAATCTAAATAGAAACGTTATGATATTGCTGGTCTTTCAAGACAATCTGGTTTTCCATTTATGTTTCTTTATTCCTTAATCGGAAAACTCCAGGGAATATTCGAGTCAGGATCTGTTAGTTCGAGAAGATGTCTAGAATGTTTAGCCCGCCTCAAAGCGCCAGGTGCTACATTTTTCTTAAAAGTCGCATCTTTACACCTTTCATTCTGTTCGGACAGCCCAAAGCCGGAAATATATTTCTCCAGGCGGCAGGAGTGGAACAGCGAGAGCACATAAAACTTGTATCATTTAATATCGGATGTATGAAAGGGCTTAGTCTTTGTTCAATCTCGAGAAATCAACTTCAGTTTAGTATGGTAGTATTTCGGTTTGATTGCAGCATTTTTCCTTCTCTCTGCTTCCGGCCTAATGGCTTTCCAGGCGTCTCGGGAGCGATAATAGTGCCCGGCCCGCCTTTGCAGGGCCGTATTACACGATTTGTTTACTCCGGACTCGGATATTCCACTTCACGAACGAACTCGAAATCTCCAATCTTCGCAGCAGTACTATTTATAATTTAAAACCACTATCGGATTTATCTTTATAATTGGGCAGTGAAAAATGTTTCCTTCAGTCAAGTTTGATTAAAATCTAACAAAGCTTCAAGGTATTTAAATAAATTTTTCTCTTAAGTGTCTATTTTCAATGCAAAAACTTATTTAGATTCGAATTTCACATCACAGATTGTTCACTACTGATCAATTAACTAAAAATCTGACCAATTAACCGAAGCAACATAAATCAGGAAGAGAGTTGGGCCTAGAACACGTTCTTGAGGAACACCAAAGTCATATTTACACCGGTCTGACAGTGATGAGTTTCCTGAAATATTTATGCGATTCTAAATACAATTTTGTCAACATGACAATGACATAATTCAAACAATGACAGTGTAAACATGCACTGAGACGTATTTCAAAGTCCTTGGAGGCCTGGGGTTGTGTTTAAATTTTGACGAGCAGTTGGAAATCCGCCCCTGTGGTTGGTTTACGGCCTTGTGGTTTCAGCCGTATGCCGAGCCGTCAGGAATCGTAGCCGCCGCCGTTATAAGTGAAAATTATATTTCCAGGAGTTAATAAATTTCCCATGAACCTCTAATGAAATCATGAATTATTATTTTTGGGAAATTCACCGGCCTAATTTCATTAAGTGGATTCTCAAACGTAAATATTTCATCTCTTAATGTGCCCCAAAGTTCATCCGCTAACTTCCGAAAGGCCAGAATGGGGTGCTACCGAGGCAAGAAGTATTTATAATATACAGTTCCAAGCGAAAAGATCTTGAGGCTTCTCTTCTCCTGCGAAGCCATTATTACCCGGCTGTTTCAAGCGCCATCTTCCATCCATAAGCTTCAATTTATATAAGGGTGGCAGCCACTAAAATCACTGGATCTCATGCCTTTTTATTAACAGAAATAACTCATTCACAGTCTACAAAATGTTAAAAAACAAATAAGAAATAGACTTTAATACATCGTGATGCTGTATTTGAGTATTATGAAGGCACATGCCATCAAAATCGATCAATATGATTGCATTTAACATTTGCGTTATTGTTAATTTTATCAGAAACAGCGCTTATCTTCTTCTCTTAACATAAAAATACATATTAACTGTGAACACTGTTGAATCTGAGGCTTAGTCACTCAGACGTATTTCAAACTAGTTGAAACCCTCTCTCCCAAATATAGTTTCGAAAGTTTTATTATTATTTCTGCGGTACTGTTATTTATTTATTCTTCTTCAGAAATTTTCCGTCATTCCTTGAATTTAATAAGCGAAACATCAAGTTTCTTACGGCGCACAATTCGACGGTTCTCCGTTTTCCTTTCATCGCACGCCGTTCACTTTTCTCGCGAAAGGCGGCGAGATATAAATAATTAAAGATGGAATATGCCTTCCCAACGCCCTAATGGACGTCTGAGGGGATTCAAGGGCCTTTTTAGACTTGCATCGCCGGTCAACCCTCCAGATGTTTCCCGAGCTCTTCGCACTTTCCCGAGATATCAGATTGGAAATGTTTTCCTTCTGGTGTTATTCTCGAGAAGCTGTCGTTCAGCCTGACGGCTTTGATTACGGCTAAATGTTGTTAATTAGCTTCATCTTTTGAAAAAAAATACGTTACAGTTCCATTATATATTCTTTGTAATGTGCTAGCTCTTAGTTAAAGAGGTGAATAAATTCATTGGAACTACCCACCGCTTTCGCGATCATTTAGAATTCTGAGTACTAACAGTCCTTGTTATTAAACCATAGTTTGATTCTTTTTTCGACATTCACCATTCTGCAATGAAACTATTTAGGTATAACCAAGCATACATTCCTTCAAAGTTATAGACCGGCATAATTCGCGTACAACAGTTCTATCGGGGTTTTTCCCTAATAGACCATTACACAGTTCTATTCCTGGGCGGATATTCCAATACGTTGCATTCAAATTTATTTTTACGTACAAAGCTGCCACTCCATTGTATCTCGCCCGAAGATTATTACGTGTGGCCCAGATTGAGGAATTTCGCCGCTCGAACAAATTGTAAACCCATTGTGGCCCATATGAAACTTAATTGGTTGTCAAAAATTATGTGAGCGCCATCCATTAATCAAGCCATTCTGCCGGGTCGTTTTCGGAGTAAAATTAATTCTAATTTTTGCAAAGTATACATCGAGGGTCGTGTGTAACCACTTTGAGACCTGAAGGAATCCTTTGTCGTATTCCAAGAAACTCGCAGGAGTGAATATAACGATCAGATGTGAGCTCGTACAAAGGCGTTTTTTTGGTTCTTTGAGCAGAAGTGTCTATGCTTTAACGGACGTTCAACGTGTAATAATTACAGAGGAATTATTTAATGAAGGCTTTTGTGTTCTGTCACCCTGAGGTTCTCATTCATACAAAGCAGCCAGCGGAATTATTGCGTGGGTTATATAAAAACAAATTAGAGAAAAGAAATATAGTTCACAGTAGCTGCCTTTACTATTTACTCTTAAAAGTGATTTTTTTAGACATTTAAACGGTTTTTATACATGTTTTTGTCTGTTTGTGTGTATACCTGGCTTAAGCTTTGATCCCTCCGCAGAACGCAACAAACAAATAACGCCACAGTAGCCATCGGGACTACGATAACAAGAGACGGACGTTTTATGCAAATGCAACCTTTCATTGACCATCCAGCGCGATCCGTCTGGTCTGAACGTTTGTGTTTTGTTACAGGTCCATGTGATCGTCCTGGCGCAAGATGCGGCCCTCGAATTGTGCTCTGCATTTCCATTTCCTGTTGGTGGTGCTGGTGCTGCCGCTGGCCGAAGTGATTGAAGCCTTTGACATAAGTAAGTGGGCTCGTAAAATTATATTACAGCGCGGGGACAATGCCGCTGTCTCTTTGCGAGGTAGATTCGCAATTTCCGCCGCTCCGCGTGTGCCATTTGCAATGGCAGAAACTAGGCGGCTTTGAAACGGGATATACGGGGTGTCTTCTGGCGCAGGAAACCTTATTTTCTTAGGCCTTTTATCTAGAACGGAAATTAATAAAGTTTTAGGAAATTTTCTCAATTAAAAAAATATACAGGGTGGTCCCGAGATAATGGGCGACAGCTACTTTCATAAAGTTTACCTTTCTTGTGTAAAAATAGTTGGAAAATAAGAATTTGATACCAAAGATGAGATACCTTAAAGTACAAAAAAGTTATGTCGTTTCCAACACCTTCAATCTACTGCAGCTGGCGCCCTCTATGAAGTATAACCAAAATGTGAACAAATTTCAATTCCTCTACCCAAAGAATCCCAAACCCCAAAATTTTGTGTAGATATTTGCATTTATTAAGAAATAAATGGAAATAAACTAAAATAATATTTTACATTTATCACCCTGTGTCTCTTTAACTATCAACTTTTGGACTAAGGTAAGTTCTGCTAAATCGCAATATTTTTGCTTCGGGAATCTACCCATGAATGTTGGCCCATTACCTCGTGACCACCCTGTATATTGGGGGTTCTATTAAAAAAAAAGGCACGAGATGGAAAAGAATTTATTTTCCGATTTATTTTTTTAATACAGAGATTAAAAAACACTTTAACCTTTTCGCTCTTCAAGAACTATAGAAATAAAATGTTCACTAATTTGCCTTTTTAAATAGGTATTAGACTTATCTCTGGGAAAATGAAAGTCTGATAAAAATTTTAGACTTTAGACTCAAGTTTTCATGGTCATTATTTAGTCAATATTATTGTTCATAATATTTCTAATTAAATTATTGATCTTACGATTAAAATTTATTATTTTACGCGAAAGAGAATATTAAAATAGCAGTTTCGTGGATATATTATCTATTTATTTCATTTATTTATAATCTCATAGATTATTTTTTTTATTTGGGATATAAAATTATATGGTGTGGAACGAATATTGTTTTATTAAATTGAAGGGGTGTAGAATTTAGAAATCACAATTTAAATGAAAAAAAATCGCTAATACTGAAAATAAATTCAAATGTCTGAAACGTAAAATAAATAAACTCTCGAAAAAACATTCCACTTAAAATGTGTTATACTGTGCATTTTTATGTTCGTTAGTTTGTATGTTTGTTTGTGTTATAGTTATAGTTATTAATTTCAGTACTTAGTGACACTATAGAGTGTTTCCATTTTCAAGTTTCTGTGTAATATTATGAAAAGGCAAATATACGAATCAAGAAAGAGTTTGTATGGTTAGAACCTACTTTTTGTCTGGAGAACACGATGCTGTTGCAAGAAAACGATATCAGGTTATTTTCTACATACAAATAATATCTTTAACACAACTTACCGCCCTCAGATTAACCATTATCAGTTATTACCGTGTAACTATCTCCCAATTAATAGCAGTTAACAGTTACGAAGTTAAGGCCATTTCGGTGGACAGCGTGATTAAGTAATCACCATTTAATTTATATTTGGGACCAATGCAACTATTAATTAAAGCGGTATCCGAACTGCTACCGAGACTTGTTCAAATCGAATTTAGATTTAATTAAATAACTAACAGCTGGGCATACATCTCATTTATCCAGTATAAATTCCTTGTTTAAGTAGGTATAGATTTGAAGGTGCTTAAAAGAGAAACGCATTCCGTGACAGTAACAAATCGACACAGACACAACAAGTCGTCAACATTGTGTTGCCTGCATCATCCTAGAAATAACAGAAACAAAGTTGAAAATCGAATCTTTAAATAACAAGATACACGTTTTATTATTTTCTTGTTCATATTTACTAAAAACTTTGCGAACAGCTTTGACAAGAAATAATTAACAAGAGCACGAACTGTCCAGTTTTTGTGACGCCCATTTTAGTAAAATTAAACCATTAGCTGGGTGTTGTATCCCAGGAAACGTCTTATTATATAACAAGTTGCACATTTCCTCCGTTGTTTAAACATAAAACTTACTTTTCGCTCGTTCCCAAGTTAACTCCCCACATTGGCAAAAAACCAGGTTGAAGTTAACTTAAAGTGTAAACGTTTACTACCCCATAAGGGTCGAAGCTGCTAGCCTCTTTTTATAAGTAAATAAACTACAAAACTCTTAGGAGCTCTAGGGGGAAGGGGGCAAACGGCTAATCCCATAAGAGTTCATAAAGACCCGGCAATTCCGAGCCAGTTTTTGAGCTCGAGTCGAGCTGTAACTGCGGCCGTAAAACGGCTAGATCGCGAATAGAACGGACAAGTTTATTGGATTCGTACCTGGAGATTCAAAACTCAGGTAAAATTGTAGTCGTTCGATTAAATGTTAAGTATTAAATTATTCAAATTGTCTGTGTCACACAGCAATCGCAGACTGCTAAGGTAAAAGCGAACGAATTTAAGTCAACTTAGTCAAAAAATGCTTCGTTTAAAAGTTACACGGTGTTCAATTAATCTTTTTGGGACACCCTGTATATTAGTTTAATAGTAGGTACCTATGCTGATACTGCTTACGAATTATTTCGGGTGTAATTCATTTTAATCGGGAGAGTAATTGTTGTATGACGTAACATGATGATTTAACAATTTTATTGGCAATTTTTAATGCATGTTTCATGTCCTTATCAATAAATATTTCATAAAATATTTTCGCAAACGTTTTAAATATAACAAAATACGTATATTGCAATTAAATAAATAAAATAGCGCCAGACATATTTGCTTGGCTCTATAGATATTAAATCAAAAATAAAATTTCAGTGATCAGTAAATTTATTGGTGATATAATATTTCAATTATCTATACGCAGCTATGGAGCAACGGATTTTCTGCTGCACAGGGTGTTTTCTAATGTAGTACATATTTAAATTGATCCAAAATTATGCTGTTCACAAAACATTATTCTATTAAAAACTTTTATAACAGGACATTTTAATAATTGCTGTTCTTCTAGGACCTGGTTAATTTTTTAACGTTTTTAGTTTGTAGTGATAGAAATTCTTGTCGAAATTATACACAAATATATTAGCAACGAAATGGTGAACAAAACTTTTACATTGTGTTTAATATGTCCCTCGCATATCGCAATAATTCCCATTCTTGTTATTGCTAACAATACAATCCTGTTATTGGAACACGAGTTCCTCAAATATATATTTTTTTGGCCTGTGACACAAACAACCTTGACTTTAAGGGCTTCGCGAAGGATTTTCCATAAAGCACACAAAATTATGGAATTAAGAACTACATAAAAAAGGCAAACAACCTGTCGACCTGTATCTCTTTTATTAAAACTTACAAGGTCGCAATTGTCGTATCAGCCTTGCTCCTGTTGTTGGACCAGTGGCAATATTTGCCTTTAATTTCAGTTGTTTAAAATTTTTTTCGGGGATTCGCGGAGAAATATTCGAAATGGATATAATGAAGCGTTAAATACGACATTTCCAGGAAAATTTTCGTCTTATATTTGGCAATACCATTTTTAATGCATATCTAGCTGATTTGAATTAAACACAAAAATACAAGAATTTGCCAACTGGATTACGGAACTTGTCAGCAATAAGGAGAGTTTTATTCGCTTAATGGACCTTTTGCCCTTGTTTTTTTGGTTTAATTTAACGACATATTTCTTACCTAGAAATGAACAATGTTAATTAAACCAACGTTCATTCGAGTAGTTTAAATTCCAAAGAGAAAGCTTTGGAATGGCCTGCTCGTTCACCATAACTTAACCTCTTAGACTGATTGCTACAAATCACCCTGAAAACGTAGAAAATCGCAGCTAATTGCTTACTTCCGCTTAACCTTACATAAATAGTATCATTTTTCATAATTAGACGAAATGTTGTTCGCCCCAGAGCACAACGTTGGGGGACTGACGATTTAATGAATTAAAATTCACTGAAGACACATTGTCCTGCCAAAAAGATTAAAAGCCCGTTCCGTCGACCCTATGAGACACGTGCCGCAATTTTTTAATGAAATGTTTCGGGGGACGGCTGTTTTAAGGGTGGAAATTTAAACTTGGCAGCTTTGATTGCAGGGGCCAGTCATGGAAATGGGCCGAGGATGACTAATTCGCCGGGTTTGAGCGCAAGAAGGACTTAATTTGGACTCGATGCTAGCTTTTTTTTATTACATTGGAAAATTTGTGACAGAATATTTTGTAAGTCCCGTCAATGCAAACCAAAACGGTGACAAACATAGACAGGTGTGCTTATTTGCGTTTTATTGCTTTTGGGCTTTTGCATATGACCTGGAGAATCTTGAACTTCTTCTGAAGGAGGCAACAGTATCACAATTGTTTGAATCTTTCGATCGATACTAACTTTGTGTCAGTATTTTGCAGTGGTTCTTAAATTTCTAGCTCGAGACTGTCTCTCGGCGTACCGCAGCTCGTGAAAAAATAAATTCCGAAACGTCTGAACGTCGGCCGCCAATATATTTGCAGACATGTGTTCCGTCCGGGTCCATTGCTGATTTATGACTTTCGGCTTTCAGTTTAGGCATCCATTTTCCGGATACCGGGGCATTTTTCTTTGAGCAACTCTGCCGTGAATGGTGGCCGAAGAGAACCCATTTTAAGTAATTGTGAATTTGTATGCAAACCGCGAGCGGATATGTTCCGGTAAATGATTGATGTTTCTCCATTTTCGGGGTGCCCGTTTTTTCGGCTAGCGACGGCCAAAGGTGCCAGTCGATATCAATTTTTTATTGCTCGGGTCTGTTTTTAAGTGCGTGTCGGGTTTTCGGGCGGGCTTTCTGCTTGAATCATTTACCAGTTGCATAAAATCAAAGTTCGGCAAGGAGATGCGGAAGTATCTGCGGATTTTGGGGAATAGAGTCATTTCTCATTCTCTTTAAATCTTTTTATGACAGATTTGCATGAAA